TTTTTAAAGACGTTTTTCCCATCTCATAGAACAAACTCTTTCAAAAGACAAATCACTACTTTCACTCAAAAACCAGGAGAAATATTTCACCAATATTGGGATAGGTATGTAGACTTACTTAGTACTTGCCCTTATCATGGTTTTAAAACATGGATATTGGTTTCATATTTCTATAAAGGGTTAACACCTAGAGATAGACAAATGACACTACTTACCTTATTGTCAAGAATGCATCTTTGAAATATTTGATCAGGACAATATTTGAATAAGTTAGGGTCATCCTAATAAAAGTTCTTCACTTCATTCAAAAACTTTTCTTTGTCTTAGGCACTCCAATGAACTGGGAAATCTCCTAAAACAAAACAATTGATATTTTTATCATACCAATGCATTGAACTAAGAGAAAGTAGAGATTCATCAGGAAAGTAATCATCGATTGGTATGATGTCGGGTGTCGAATCTGTTGTCACTTTTGATAAAAGATCCACATCAATATTTTCGGTGCCTTTTTCATCCTCAATTTCTTCCTGATTGGTCATAGCATGAGGAAATGGAAGTGCTGGCGGGGAATCAGTCTTTTCTTTGAAATGTTCAGATTCAACCCCTTCCTTACCCTTAGAGATTGACTCATCAGCTTTCTTATAAGATTCAAGAATTGGTTTTTGAATAATCTTACAACTACGAAAAGTAATGATTGATTTAACTTGATCCATGTGTTGACTTCCAAAACTGCTTGCATTTGCATTATATTGCCCCTTGAGATTTTGCTATGGTTGAGATGGAAACTTACCTTTCTCTTGAAAACTGAGCAGATGTGAATTTTGCAAGAGTATCTTTAAAATCTATTATGCTTTGAGTAAGTTGAGTGTTGATTGTCTCTTACTTTTCAATAAATGCATACAAAATTTCCTCAAAATTTCTTCTAAGAGGTAGAGCATAAGAAGGTGCATATCTATGATAATTGTGAAAATTATGGTGTGCTTGAAATTATGGTGGTGAAATTTGTGCATTATCACTCTTTCAATTGAAATTTTGGTGATTTCTCCAACCAGGATTGTATGTTTGCGAGTATGAGTTATGATTGGACCTTTGAAAACTGTTTAAAGCATGGGCTTGTTTATGGAGACAATCCTTAAAAGAAGGAAAGTTTAGACAGTCATTGATTAAGTGTTTATTAGTTTTACAGATTTGACACATAATATTTTAAACAGATTTTAATTGACCACTTTTTTTCAATTCTAGTGCCTCGATTTTTCTAGCTAAAGATGTAAACTTGCCTTGAAGGTCATGATCTTCCCTAAGGTTGTACATATCTCTACTAGATATATGAGCTTGAGTTTTACTCGGTGTCTCATAAGTACCTACGGTGTCCTAATTTTGAGCATTTTCAGCTAACAAGTCTAAGTACTCAATTGCTTCATTAGGGTCTTTATTTTCAAAAGTTTCATTGCACATCAATTCAACCATTTGCCTATCTCTAGGTGTTAACCCTTCATAAAAATATGAAACCAATATCCATGTTTTAAAACCATGATGAGGGCAAGTATTAAGCAAGTCTCCATGTTTCAAATATTGATAAAATATTTTTCCTGTTTTTTGAGTGAAAGTGGTGATTTATCTTTTGAAAGAGTTTGTTCTATGAGAAGGGAAAAACTTTTTTAAAAATTATTGTTGCATTTCATCCCAAGCACGAATAGATCCAGGTCTAAAATAATGAAGCTTAATTCATAATTAAAATTTAAAAAATACTAATTCGTGGCACACATGTTATATCCACGAGGATTCCAAGTATTCTAATTCATCTCATTACAGAAGATTTATAAAAAGCCAAAAAAAAATTAAGTTAACTCGTCAAACCTATAATACAAGTTATTAGATTTAGCTGACCGCATATAAAGTAAACTATGATAAATTATTAAGCCAACTCCAGTAAACTAAATGTTGAAGTATGAAATTAGGGGAATAAATATAGATTTATAGTGTAAGGAGACTGAGTTAACTATATATAAAGCAAATCATAATAAATTATTAAACCCAGTCTTTAAACTAAATGTTAAAGTATGAAATTAGAGAAAGAAATATAGATTTAGAAAGAAAAAAAAACAAGTAAAAAAACACTATTGACAATGCATTTTTTTTTTAATTTAAGATTTTGATCATTAACTCAAGATAAAATAAAATAAAAAGAAATGCAAAAAAAAAACTTGATAAATCTATTGAATCCATGACTTGAGATATAATATCAATATAACTCTATAGGAAAAAAAATGTAAAAAAAAAATAATACCAATTTTTAAAAAACTTAATTAAAAAAACAAAATTCTCCTATGAATTGCCTCAAATTAAATGAAAGAGGATGAAATCAAAAAAATTAATTTAATTAAAAAATTTCTTTTAAAGAAGCAAAATTTAACAAAGATCGAAAAAAAAAAAAAACCTTTTAGGCAATCCTTGTTATTTTAAAAGGGAAAATGAATCCTATAGAAAGAGAGTAAAAAAGAATGCTAGAGGTTGAAATATGAAAAAATAAAAGAGCTTAAAAAAAGAAACAAAACACCAAAGAAGCCCGAGTGAACCCTATTAACTCGAGTTAAACTCTCAAACCTACAATCTATTAAATTATTGATCCAGGTTCAACGTAGGAGCTCAACACCAAAAAAATTAAATGTTGAAAGATGAAATCAATCAATTTAATTCAATTTAAAAATAAAATTCCTTCATAAAAACTAAATTCAACAAAGACCAAAAAAAAACCCAAGACAATCTGTTTTATTTTCAAAAAGAATAAAAATTACCATATAAACTGAATTAAAAAATAACAAAATGCTGGAGGATGAAAAAAAAAGAAAAAAAACAAAGAATTCGAGGTCAATCTCTTACACCAATAAACTATTAAATTTTAGACCCAGGCTCAACTAAAAAGCTAAAAACCTGGCTAATTAAATATTGGAGGATGACATAATAAACAAATCAATCTAAAAATACAATAATAACAAAAAGATTAGATTTGATAGGAAAAAAAGCTAAAAAATGCTGAAATTAAAAAAAAAACAATTGTGAAAACCATCTAAAATTGAAAAAAATTCTTAATTTAGTAGACTATTCTAAATAAATAAAAAATTGCAACAAAGAGAACAAGGATGAAATTGAAAAAACCAAATAATTTCACATAATTTCATAAAGTATTCTAAATTTAAAAAATTATAATGAAGAGAACAGAGATGAAATCATAAGTAAAATAAACTTTTAAGGACCGATTTGATTTTTTAATCCCAACACGAAAATCAAGTAGGAAAGAGGGGAAAAGACAAAAACAAAAGGCCACATGAGTCACACCAATTGTTATAGTGCTACACGCGTCGTTGATTCGTGGGGGGACGTTGAGATCCTTTGGAAACCTCCCTGGAATCATCGTTTTGGCTATTAGATGACACCACACATACCGTTTAGAGGTGGCAAACATTGTTTACCTGATTCTGTTTTCTTTTTAATTTAATTTTTTAATTTATCAAATTATTTTATTGTCTCCGATAACACCCCAATAACTACTAAATGACCACGTCTAAATGACAAAAGAGCCTCAGAGCCAAAGATAATTGTTTTAAATTTTCAAGGACAATAAAGTAACATTCTTGTTGAAAAATCAAGTCAAAGACTAATAAGTCTCTAGACCCAAGCAATTTTCTTTGTTTTCCAAGGCTAATTAAATAATCACATTGTGCAAAGAAGATGCAAAAATATTGTTTAGCATTTCCCTTTCAAGTAATGACCAATGTATCCTAAAAAAATATCGTTATATTCTTAAATTCAAGGCATGCTACTTTGCCCATCAAAGGATAAAATCAGCCTTTAGTCTTTTACTATGCAAATCCATAGTGAAAGGCCGATCTCTTTTAGTATATAATATAATATAAAGGAAAAACTCGTTAATTTAATTTTTTGATTTAAAAAATATTAAATTAACTACTTTTAAAATTATATTTGATTTTAAAAAAATATTAAATTAATGTTTTAATTTAATTTTTAAGTATTTTTTAATGATTTTGAAATATTTTTTAATTGAAAGAAATTATTTTAATATATTTTCAATTAAAAAATATTTTTGTAAAAGCATTCTACACCACATTATTAAACATACAATAATGATAGTTTTTATCGTTATGATTTTAAAAAATAGGTTTAACAAAAACACTTTTTGTTGCAGTTATTTTTTGTAAATATTTTTAGTTAAAAGTATTATAAGATAAACTTTTGAATGTAAAATAGATAAAAAGTAAATACACATGAATAAAAAATAAATTATTTTATCTTCTAGCAATTATGTACGGGTCCCAATACAAAAAATCAGAAGTTAATTAGTAACGTATATAAAAAATGGCAATAACATATATTTTATAACGAGAATCTCATTAGATATAAGTCCGTTAAATCTTAAGCAAATAATCTCACACAGTTTTAAATGGGAATTCTTTGAAGCTTTCATTATAATCTCACAAAATTCTTATCCAATTTCTCAATCAACAAAGCATCGGGCATGTGAGTTGTATTATTCCGTTGACTGATAGCTTCTAAGATGTATCTGCACAAGGATAAAGCCCTTGAATAATAATAGTTCACCATTGTGCTAACTTTGTCCCTTAGGAGGTTTATCCCCATGAGGCACTTGTTCCTCACTTTTTTGGGTAGAAGTTGCTTATTACGTTGTATTTAGCATGTTTTTTCAACAATAGCCCATATTTAATGGACTAATTGTTGTGTGTGATAAAATTAATCTAGTAAGTTCAGCTTTAGACAGCCTAAATATATAGAAAGGTAATTTCTTTTTCATTGATGCTTTTGATTTATTATTTTATATAATCTTACTGGTATGGTAATATGACACGTCACTCATTCACATGCATTTATATATATATTCATGTAGAGACCATATTATATTGTACGATACGCACAATAACAAGTTAACCATATAAAGAATCCGTAATAGAAATAGAACATCAAAATGAGGAGAATGAGAATCCACACATTCAACAATAAGCACACAAATGAGTAAACATTATGCCCTTGCTTTTGAAGGTTCAGACAATAAGCACACAAATGAGTAAACATTTCTGGAAGTTCGCACAATAAATTACAAAACACATGACATTACATGACATTACCCTTATTCTGGAAGTTCACACAACAAACACATGAAATAAGACATTGTTGTAGCTAATGAAACAGCTGGAATTACTTCCCACCAATGTCGAGTTGATCACATCACATAGGTAACCAACCAACCTAATGCAAACATCAAGGACAAAGATCATCCAGGCATCTCGTATTTGTTGATTTAAAGAAGGATATAAAATAAATAGTTGCAGCCATTTTACCTGGAAGAATGAATTAGTAGCATGTTTTTCAAATTCCAATGCCAAACTAATCATCTGACTCCATCCTCTTCCTCTTTTTCCTCTTTCCACCCATTATACGAGGTCCACGTTCTACAAGTGCTGGTTGGCACGGAGCAACCAGTGCTGGAACCCTCAATCATTTGATGTAATAGCAGATTCTATGGTAAGCTTTGGGCATCCATGCACCTCCAACTTCTTCAAATGAGGGAACAAGAAATCATAACATCCGAGACTAAAGCAGGAAATACTTGGTAATTGTACAAGCAACAACTCCTGCAGATCAGGGAGCACCATCTCCTTCTCAACATTGACAGGTGAAGCATGATCACCCTGCCCAAATACTCCTAATAATTGAGAGGATTCCTTTACTTCAAGTATTTGGAGCTTTTTGAGACCTGAAGCCATGGCTACTGGGAAGAGACTCTTCAACTTGTTGCATCGAGTGATCTGAAGTCGACACAAATTAGGAAAGCATGCAGATTGGAGATCACTTTCTGACAATATCTGATGCTTTTCATCATTATTATCCTTGGCAATAATTTGCTCCAATTCCTCACAATCTGATATCTTTAGAACTTGCAGTTGAAGTAGACTAGCAATCATGCTATGTGTGAATACACGTGTCAGTCTCTTACAGCTATACACCGTCAAAGAAGTCAAATGGCTCAGCATGAGCCCCTTCCATATACACCTCAAGTCAGGCACAAGCACGAAGGACAAAGTTAATGTTTCCACACTTGTTAACCCCTGCATCAAAAGGCACCAATTTGTTAGATATAATTCCTAGTAATTTTTGTGCACTTTGGAACTATTATATAATTTTGTTAAATAGATCAACCAATTATCAACAAGAAGATATAAATAGACAGGGAAAAGGATCATGAGAATATAAAATCATATTTTTTTCATATTTATGATAATCTAAATATAAACTATTATTTTATATTAGTTAAATTAAAAGCAATCATGAAAAAATTATACTTATTAACCTACAAAAAATTATGACATTGTCCAAAAATAAAAATATAAAAGAAAATATTTTGAATTTTACATATTAGTAAATTTTTTTAATAAAAATGCTTGATTATTGGTCATTTAAATTATTTTTTCCATAAAAAAGTGAAAAAATTGTAAGAAAAAAACAAGAAAAATACATTAAAAAATATGTTTTTCAAACTCAATACAAATTTGGTGCTTTTGAAGTTCTTTGAATGAGAAAAATATTGTATTTAAAAAGAAAGTTTCAATTTTTACTTTTTGCATCTAATTGTTTAAAAAATTGGATAAAAAAACCAATTTTTATTAATTTTTTGAACCATGACATCATAAGTTGCAGCACTGAAACAAAAAACTCAATATTCTCAGACGGAGCTTTATCGTCCTGTCCAAATACTTTCCATTAATTGGCGGAAATATGAAGGATTTGCTACCATTTATCCATTACTTTAGTTTTAGAAATCTGAAGGAAGAAATAAGAAATTACATTACAGTAATTGATGTCTAACTTCCTAAGCCAATTTAAATCATCAATTAAATTCAGTGGATGGTTAAAGAACTTATCAATTACTTTAGTTTTAGAAATTTGGAGGAAGATAGAACAAATTATCACAATGTATTGAAGCTGACAATTTAAATTAGAAAAGAAAAAAAAATGGAGAAATATAAAGGACATACTTGAAGCTGTGCCAACAAATTACCCCCTTCTTCGAGGCCACCAATGGTTAGCTCTTGCAAAGAAGGCAATTGGGCAGCAAAATCCTTTGGACCAAACAAGCTGCACTTTGAAAGAGACAATTTTCTTAGCTGAGGGAAGTCGATGATGCCATCTTTAATTTTAGACTTGACGATGATGTCATCTCCTTCTCCACTGTAAAATACTTGCTTTAAATTGACATAAAAATAAATCTCCATCTCTTCCAGGTTCTGAAGACTTGGAGACACGGAGACAGGGAAGACATATTCCAGTTCATCACAGCCCCGTATATAAAGAGCTTTTAATTTTGGGAAGCGAAGAGACTCTGGAATTATTTCCCCTTCGTCATCCTTTTCTCTGATAAGACGCTTCAATCCACGACAATGTGTTACCTGTAGTGTTTCTAGATGAATAAGACTTTGAGCGAGGGACGGTGTGAAGATAAATGTCAGTTTGTGAAGAGAACACAACTCCAGAATAATAAGACTTTCGAGGCTGACATGTCTAGTGGGCCCCTTCCATATATATTTGAGCTCAGTTAAAACTGACAACCGTAACGTTGTTAAAGATGACAGTAGCGGCAGCTCCTTCTCCTCACCCAATTCAAATACCTCTTCCAATGATTTGCAGTATGCAATTGCCACACTCCTTAGATTCTTCGAAGCTTGCCGCCATTTTGCTGGAAACAGAATGCGAATATCCCCACATCCGCTCACTTCGACATGTTCTAATCTTTGTAAGAAGTCCTTTTGCGACCCATGGCCATGGGTGGTCATCTGATCAGAGAACAATGCTATATTTCTTAAACCCTCCACACTCCGAAAATAAATATGAGACACGGTAGGAAACAACTGCTCAAATGTCTTTGCATTTAAGGATGTGGCGCTTATATCAACCACATATAATCTCGTCGAGGTTGGGTATTCTTTATCGAGTTCTGAATACCCATCCCCTAACACTATATCATATTTAAGCAACCTGGGAAAAACAAAATTTCTGGGAATGCATTCAACCTTCGGTATCTTCAATGATAATACAGCTAAATCAGACAGCGAACTTAGTTCTGTTAGGCTTGCATTGATTCCTTCTGCGCTGTCACATCCAACAACATCCCATCCCTCGAAGCTGAAATCCCCGATCAGCAGTTCTTCTAACTTCTTCAACCTTGCAATCAAATTCACAGGAATCCTTCTTAGGAATTCACAAGCTGTAACATCCAACAACCTTAACTCCTTGAGATCCCCAATTTCTTCAGGTAATTCATTAATAGAGTCGCACCCTGTAAAACCAAGAATCTTAAGTTTTTGCAGCTTTCTCAACCAGATAAGGTCCTTGCATTCACACTCGAACAACAGCAACGATTGAAGGTTCGTCAAGAATTGAAGTGATTGCAATGACAAACACCCTCCCTCTAGAGACAAAACTTCAATTGCTTTCATCCCTTCAAAAAAACTCTCTGGAACATACAAACCACGATACAGTCCTAACAATAGAACTTTGAGCTGTGGACACACCAATCCTTCAGGAAGTTCTGCTAGTTCATTCTCCATTAACGAGATTGTTGTACAGCCTTCAAAGCTTTTATTGCCCGTTGGCCACTCCTTCAACCCAATGCCAGCCTTCACCATGAATCCGTATTTTTCTGATGATGCTATCTGAATAGCAACATCACGAACCAAGTCATGCATTTTCACATATTCTTCAGTTTCAGTTCCTAACAGCATAGAACAAGCTTTGAGGTTTTTGATCGCCACATAAACTCGTTTCCTTGCATCTTCAATGGACTCCCCATCTTGATGTAACCCATAGCCAACTGCGTATCTTGTCAAGTCCTCAATTGGAATCTTGTAATCTTCTGGAAATAAACAGCATAGCAAGAAACATAACTTGGTTTTCTCGTGCTTCAAATAATCATAGCTCAACTTAAGACATGCATATGCATTTTTTTGTTCATCAATTTGTTCCATGTCCGGAAATTGAGACTTTTTTAGCTGATCAAATGCTACTTCCCACTCAACTGCAGATTTATCTCTTAGAGCCCTTCCGACTGTCACAAGTGCTATAGGCAATCCTTTACATTCTCTCGCAACCTCCTTTGCCACTCTGTTCAAGTCAGAGTCTTCATCACGTAAACCTGCATTGATTTTCAATAAAGCCCATGCTTCATTTTCAGATAAGACTCTTAATAACACTTTTTGCTGGCACTTCATAGAAGAACATATGTGTTCAAGACGAGTTGTTAGAAGAATTTTACAACCCCTGTGAGCATCACCAAATGGGATCCCTATCTCTTGCAAGTCAATATTTTTCCAAGCATCATCGAGGATTATAAGCACCTTCTTTCCCTGAAGTCTCTGCCATAACCGACCTGCTCTCCCCTTTCCACTCTTTCCGTCAAAATCCAGACCTAAAATAACTGCCATTTGATCCTGCATGTCTGTGACATTTGGATTCTGGGACACCGTGACTATCAAAACTTCATCAACAAGCTGCAACTCTTTGGCTCCCCTACCTACTTCTTTGACCAGGGTTGTTTTACCCACCCCTCCCATGCCGTACAGTCCGATCATATTGACAGTGTCATCTTTGAGAGCTTTCATTATCTGTTCGAAAGCTTCTTTTGATGATTCCGAGGGTGTGAGTCCCTCTGATGGAAGAAATTCTATGTCTTGAAGAGGTGCTTTGTGCGACACTTTTGGAAACTTTCTGCTATTTTCTTCAAGTTTTCGCAAAGTCTCCGTCTTCTTTGCTAGTGCCTTGCTTAACTTGAATTGTCGCATCGAATTTGGGCACCAAGTAAAGCATTTGCCAATTTTTCCTTTTTCATTTTGCAAACGTTTCACACCTTCAATTTCGTTTTTTGCGTCTTCCAGCCATGTGTTGACATCAATCTCAATTTCTTCAGCATTCCGTTGAGCAACGTCGACAGCATCTTGCAGACGATAAAATGCCAAAGCCAGGTTCTTCATTTGTTCATCGAATTCTTGAACAAAATTGTTGAAACAGAACATGTAACGGAACTGCTTGATTGCTGGTTCCACCAAGAGTTCTGCTATCTTAGATACAATAGATCCACCAACACATTCGATAGCCATTTTCCACCAGTCTGAAAAATTAGAGAAATGAGGATGCTGAGTGTGAGAGTGAATCTTTACAAGTAAAATAGGCAATGAGAGAATGAGAATAGTAATTTTATTACCTTAATTTGTGAAAATATATGCGGAAAGCACTGGTACTGACTGCCCAATAATAAAATATAGCGAGAGGAACAAAAGGAAGAAGGCCTTTAGCTCTGTTGGGAAGCCAGCTTCAAAAGCAACAAGGCAAGGTATAAGTAGAACGACAAACAATTAATCCCTTTGTCCCCTCATCAATATCTATCCACGCCATCTGTTAAAATTCACACTTACCCTAACAATTATTTACACCATAGTTTATAGATCTCTGTGCTTTTCCATAAAAAAGATAGAAATACTTTTTTTTCCCCTCAAAACCAATAAAAAGAATTTCTTTAGTGAAAGATAGAATATCATCACTCTAATGAAAATATTTATAAAAGAACGACTTTATGTTAAAAAGAGGAGAAAAAGTGTAATTTGATGACATAATTAAGATAGTCTGCATAAGGAGACTTGCAAGGAAGTATAATTAATGGAACGAACTCAACAAAGGATCAATCTTAGCCAACTAAAATCTGTAATGACTATCTCTACATCATACGCTTATTTACACAACATCTTTATCTAATGAAGCTGATTTGGTTTCAATTTTATTATCTTCAATTTCGATATATATAGTTCATATATAGATCTATGTGCTTTTTCCATAAAACAAAGATAGAAATACTTTTCTTCTTCTTCTCAAAACCAATAAACAGAATTTCATTAGTGAAAGATAGAATACCATCGATCTAACGAATACATTGAAACAAAATAGTTTACACTTATGAGTTTAAAGCAGCAATTCCCACAAAAAAGCAAATTTATGACATAATTAAGATAAAAGGCATATTATAAAGATAATGACAAACAAATAAAAGAATAATATGTACAAGTACTCACCTAGCAAAGAGAGAAAGGAATGGAAGGCTGATGAAGATCACTGTGACCCTGCACGAATGATACTAGCTCCTCTTTGCTTCCAATAACACATTAATCTAAAGATATGATCGGTAAATGTTTTTTTTTTTTTGAAAATTATGAATAAGGTCAAAAAAAAAAAGACTTGCAAGGAACTCCACAAAGGATCAAGCTTGGGCAACTAAAATCTGCAATGACTATCTCTTGCATCACACACTCAAGTAATAAGACCTGCCCATTACATTATACAGAAAGCTAAAAGAACAAGGCAATTGATAGCATCCAACAAGGTTTTATTTCATTTCAGTCCTTCCATTTTTTTCTATTTCTTCCTTCGATGCTTCAAATTGTTTTTTTTTTAATTTGATTTAATAGGGTGTTGTTTTTCTCTTGAGTTGTTGTGATTACCCTCGCATATGCGCTATGCTGGGAATTACAATTACAAATTACAGTTTCAAATTTAGAAAACAATTAAGAGAAAGGACCTGTGACATGGAGATAAGGTCATCCGAGAAGCCATTAGATTGTCGTCACTTGTTCAACCTTATCTTTCCCTTACATTTTTTTTAATGTTTTTTTAATTGAATTTGCATGAGTTTTGTTTAAAAATATATTAAATTAATATTTTTATGATTTTAATATATCAATATATTAATCTTCCGCTAGTTTTACTTTTATCATTTTCTTCTTTCTTATCTTCTTAATTATTAGATGCATAGCTGGTCTTTCAATTCACTTATAAATAGTCAAATCAATTGTTTTTATTAAAACAATAATATACAAGAAAACAAACCCTAAAATAGGTTTGATGGAAATATAGAAATTAACTAGGGAGGGAGAGTCTAACTCCACTATGCACCTTATTCTGCCTTGTCTTTTAGCACCGCACAGTACCTCTTAGCACGAGATAGAATATAGAGCTAAAAAACTTTACATGTCATTTTCACGAGGACAATAATATTGTTCTACAAACTTTGCATGTGATGTTACAATTCCATGTCATTTTCACGAGGACAATAAAGATTACAATAATGTTTCAAAAAGTTTGCATCTAAACATTTTCACGAGGACAATAATGATTACAATAATGTTTTAAAAAGTTTGCATATGATATTAATAACACAGGTTTTCTTTGCATCTAAAAACACTATAAAAATCTCTATATATCAAAAATAAAATCTCAAAATTATTCAAAAATATAAAAATAAACTAAATAAAAAAAATCTAAATGAAAACTCAATGTACTCAGACATGTTTATAAAAATAAACTACCACTATCAAGCTTCTCTCATTTAATAAAACATATTAATATAAAAAAATATAAGTTTTGTCTTTGAAAAGTACTCATTCACAAACTTCACCCTTTTTTTTATTGTTTTCAAACGACTTTCTCTCTTATATTTTGAGCTCAAGAATTTAAAATGTCAAGAAAATAAAATTTTAAACTAAAATTAAAATTACAAAAATTAAAGGAACTATAGAATAAAAAAAATACATTAACTAAACATAACATTTTCTAACAAATTTAAGATTAATTATTGGATTTCTTTTTATTTTATACTTTGATACTCTATTGTTGAATTTTTTTTCTTTTTTAATAAATTTAGGTATAATTAAAAAAAAATTTCCTATACTTTTGGTCGTTTTTTTTTTTCAATTGAGAAATTATGATTTGCCTCCTTGTTCAACAGGAAAAAGCAAATTAGACAAAAAGAATTTTTTTTTCATTAGTAAATAATAAATATAAGTCTACGTAATTAATTTTATTACAAACCTTGTTTTTTTCTCACACATTATTTCTCTCTCCAACCTCTCTCTAAAGAAAATTTGGCTAAATTCAACTTTTTGTTCGATTTTCTTTTCAATCAAACTCCTAATTCATTCTCAAAATTATAGTTGGCCTAATTTCACCTATTTTAGACCACTTCTTACTTTTAAAAATTTATTATTTGTTTGATTTCATCCCAAATCATAATTTTTTTATATTATTTTTTTTTTGAATTTCTGATATTTTTTCAATAATTGTTTCTTTTTTAAAAAAAACATGCCCAATTTTGTTCAAGATTTAATGATAGGAATAGATAAGGGGTATTTTATACCCAAAAATTCTTCTTCTTTTTTAATTTTATTTTTAACCCATAACACCTACAAAACACCTTATAAACCGTGATAAATCATTTATGACCTTAAATAATTCAATAATTAGTCAAAAAACCCAAAGCAACTTGAATTAACCTTTTTTGCTTTTGAGGAAGATGTAAAATTCTCATTGAAGAATGAATCTTATTAACACCAAGATCAACCTTTTACATGGCTATGATCAATGTCAACTAATGACTTTTTTTTTTTCAACTTGAATCTAGTAACCTTCTCTCTCATCTCTCAAACCAATAATTGAAAATAAAAAAAGTGAAATTTGCAATAAAAAAATGAGTGTTCAAAAACTAGAAGGATTAAAAAATTATAATTTAAACAAAGTGAACTTTTCTCGCTAATTTTGAATTTGCCACCTATTTGTTTTTGCTATTTTTCTCTTTGGTCCCTAATCTTTTTAATCTTACCCTTTCATAACAAACCAAAAGCAATTAGCCATAAATTTGACTACAAAATGAAAAAATTAAGAAGAAAAAAAATCACCACTCTTCATAATGAAATGTGAAAGGCTTTATAGTGAATGGTGCTATCATAAAATCACCTCACAGTTTATTAATTTATCTTTTTATGTTATGTCTTGGTTAGAAATACTTGACTCACTAGTTGTTTTTTCTCCAAAAATCCATAAAAAGTAGTGTAACAATAAATAGATGGCTCGTGTTATATCATTGGTAGACCCAATTTCTTTTCAACATAAAAAAACGATGCTAACACAATGCAAGCACTCATAAAAAAACAAAAAAAAGTTGAGACTCGGGTCATTGACTCAATTATGTTTAATAAGATAGGTTAATTGAAAAACACAAATGACAAATACCACAGCTATAAAAAAATTAAATAAGATAACACTCAAAAAAGGTAAAAAAAATAAAATAAAATTGAGCTAATCCATGTTAGTATGCAAAATATACAACTTGGTCATGACATCGGTGTAACCCCGTAGAAAAAAAATTAAATAAAATCATGAAACTCAATTATCAAATAACCTAATATCAAAGGGCAAAGCTTAAAAAACAACCCGAGTTAAACCCGTTTAAACTATTAACTCCATGATTATAGGTATAAGATTGAATTATCAATTAAATGTTGAAATATGAAATAAAAAAAATTAAATGTTGAAGGATCTTATCTTATAATGAAGAAAAATTTAAATAAGAATGTGAAAACATTCAAAGCTTAATTTCTAGTAAATAAAATATTGAAAGATGAATTAAAGATAAAATATAATCTCAAAAAAGTTTTGAAAAAAACCCTACTTGATTCCATCACGTCAGTATACAAAATCTGTGACCTAGTTGCGATATTGGACAACCTCGTTAAAAGCAAATAGAATAAGACTATGAAACTTAATTATCAAACAACCTAATGTTGAAGAGTAAGATAACCGTATCATTTTTAAAATCAATGAGAAATCCAATAGAACGAAAATAAAAAACTAGAGCCTAATATTTAATTAAATAAATATTGAAGGATAAAACTAAAAAGCTATAAGCTTAAAAACGGGGGGAAACCCAAGCAAACTCGAGCAAATCTCCTAAACTTATGTTAATTTTTTAAACTTGTAACTCGTGAATTTCTAAACCTTGGCTCAATGAAAAAACTCTATTTTCAACTAATTTAATGTTGAAGGATGAAGCGAAAAAAATTATTTAAAAAAATTAAAAAAACAGCAATTAAAAAAATAAGAATCAAACCTAATAGGAAAAAAACCAGAGGATGAAATAAAAAATTAATTTTAAAAATTATCTCAAATAAAATAAATAGAAATAAAAAAAGGTGACCGAATTTGACATATTACAAAATTAAAGGAGGTTGAAATTGAAAAAACAATCTAATTTAATTAAAAAAAACTAAAACAAATTATGAAGTCTAATTATAAATTAAACAGAATATTAAATAATGAGATTGGGGGGGGAGCCAATTAAAAAAAGAAAAAAAAGAGAGTCAACTTGGTTAACCGGCCAATCCCGTTACCCAAGTCACGAAATAAGGATAAACTAATAAAATGTAAATTCAATGTTGAAGGACTCATGATCCAGGTAATGAGACCGAGATAATTTTTTAGAAAGAAAATAAAAAAACTCGATTTAAAATGTTAAAACCCTCAACCTTGATCATGAAACCAGGATATCCTTGTAAAATATAAATTAAAATAAATCATGAACCTCAAGTCTTAACCGATCCAATGTTGAATGATGAAATTGTAATAAATCTCAATCAAAAAAAGCACAAAATACAAACTGAGTTAACTCAGGTGAACTTACTAAGAACTATTCATGTATTATGAGGCTGAAATAACTCAATAAAAAACAAATAAAACAATGATGAAGCCTAATTATCAATATACTCAATATTAAATGATGAGACTAAGAAGAAAACGTTACTTAAGAAAAAAAACCCGAGTAAATCAGGTTAACCCACTAAACTTGTGATCCTTGCAATAAGAATGAGATAAATCAATAAAAAATAAATTTAATATTAAAAAATAAATTATTTTTATATAAAAAAACATTAATTAAAAAAATAAAAAACTATTAATCAAATAAATAGTGTTTTGTGAGGAGGGGTTATAATAAAAACCCCTTCTCATTTAGTATTTTCTTGTTAATTTAATATTAATTAGAGTTTTTAAAAGAGAAAATAAGGATAAGTGAGAGATAGGGAAAAAAGAAAAAGTAAACTCATCTTTTGATACAGTGGCCGGGTCAATTTTTCTTTGCCTTTTCTTTTTAAAACTTGATGCCCCTCTAGATAAAAATCCTTGAATATAGCATAGTTATAGGTTATGCATATAGAAAAGAAGTTAAACTCTCTTAATTTCCCATATTAAAGCGTGGATGGCATGTAATTTCTCGTATTAAAGGGTGGATGATATGTTATTCACTCTTTATTAAAAAAAAATAGATATGGAGAATGCATTGCTATACTTAAATTAGAAAATGATGTGTCATTTGCTTGTTCAGAAATTAATGACCGGATTAGAATAAGGGTATTTTATACCCAAAGTTCTTTTTTTATTTTATTTTTAACTCATAACACCTAGAAAACACCCTAAAAGCTTTGATAAATTTATTTATAGCCTTAAATAACCTAGTAAATGGTAAAAAAACCCAGAAGCAACTTTAATTAACCTTTTTTGCTTTTACAAAAGACAAAGAACACCTAAGTAAAACTCTTAGACAAGAAAAAAGATGAATAACACCTAAGTAAAACTATCAAACAAGAAAAAAGATGAAAAACACCTAAGTAAAACTCTCATCATCGAATGAATCTTACTAACACCAAAATCAACCTTTTACATGGTTAAGATCGATGTCAACTAA